CTGTATAGCTCATGGCTTCACTGAGTTACGCAAGCCCCTTCGCCACGACAAGGCAGTGATCCATGAAGGGGTCCCTTCCCACTGAGCTCTCTCTATTGTTGCTGCCAATGTCTCACAGACATTGCTTGCTTCTGCTTTCATGGTCACTTCCTCAACCGGGTCTTCTGTCCCTCTCATTCCAGCATCTTCCTCCTCTTCAGCCAATTTTCCAAACTCTTTCTCTGTTCTAGATGGGTGAAATTTCAGTTTCTCCCCAACCTGCATTGCCTCAGTTGCCTATTGTTGCTCTGGTATCCCCTAGAGAAACCTCACACCTTCTTGCCTTCAGCTCTTGCTCATGAGTGTTCTTTCTGAACACATTGGTTGTTCCAAACTTCTTCCTTTCTTCTTTTCCTTTCTCCTTCTTTTCTACTGCCACATCCAATCTTCCTCACCCCTCCCACTTTAGCTCCTTTCCCTCCACTCTGCCCATCTTCTCATTGCCTGTCCTTTAGAGCTGGAGCTAGTGAAACACCACCTGGACTTAGGAAGTCTAGCAGGTAGGAAAATCTTTCTTACCTCTTCCTAAATGCTATTCCTTGGGTTACTGCTCTCCCCATTTTTAGGGGATTCTAATTCTTGCATCACTGATTGTGCAACTTACAACTTTCACCTTTGTTGCCTTTGCATGCGACTGCTCTGCAACCTTGTGTTGCACTTAGAAAACTGAGTAGTATATAAGTAGCCAGAGGAAATAACTTGATTCCTCCCCACCCTGTCTTGGTATGAAAGAGACACCTTCCTTGATCCATGCGAGATCCTCTGGAATAACTATATCCAGGGGAAGGCAAGGAACCTTTATGTTTATGGTTGCCATGAACTCTAGGTCTACTTCTTCAACTTCTCTGACCAATGTAGACAGCTTCCATATGTCATAGGATACAGTGCTCAGAAATTCAAGCAGATTCTTATTGCATTCCAGGCACTGAGATCTCATTACTAACTGAAAGTAGCGGACAGTTTATTGAATATGCATAAAGAGAAAAATATATGAGCAACCTCCCACAACAAAGCATTTTGGCCAAAAGTATATAATACTAGCAGAGTCATGTAAGGCAGCAGGTCACCCCAACTGTGCAATGAAAGCAATCAGGCATCTCTGTTGGGCAGTAGCAACACAGGAAGATGTTGTTGGTCTGATCACCTCGGTGAGAACAGCAAAAGAATCATTTCATACTGGGAGGGAAAAGACAATGGTAAACCACTCTTGTATTAACACAAGAAAATCACATGGATAGACTCTATAGAGTAATTGAGGCTATAGCACCAGGTAATGTGCCCTTCAGTTTAGAGGACAGTCAATGTGCTATAGAGGGACAGCTGAGGATCATTCAGAGTACTCATACTTATGACATGGTTGGATTAAACTTTCAAGACATCTGGCTGCTGAAATTGCCATGCAGAAAATAAAATTTGAACTGCAAAATCTCAGGTTCATGAAATATGAAATGAATCGACTACAAATTGACATGTTAGGCAGGAGCAAATTGAGATGGGCTGAACTTGCACCATTTCAGGCAATAAATGGAGAAGGAACAGTATTCTTTTCATGGTCTGAAGGAAATAGCAAAGACACTACTTGCAATAAATGATGGAATTATATAAATTAGACCTCACAGAGAACCCTTTAAAATGATGGTTCTCCAAGTTTATGCTCCAACTTCTACTAATGCAGTAGAAGAAGCGACTGACAGGTTTGAGGGTCAAGTTCAACACATTTCCCGCACTCAGAACATGTGTCTAGACTCCCTCCAGATTTTCTTCTGAACAAAACAGTTTCAGCTGAAAGAAATTATTGTTCCTGCACTACATGCTGCTCAAGGGCTCTGGACACCCCAATGAAAGGAGATTCTAAAGGCAAAGTTTTGAGGAAAAAAAAACATTTTCCCCACCCCAAGGTTATCTCTACCATGTGGACTATTTTGTGATCTACAAATAGATGGCACCAAAGACAGCCCTTGCTACCTTCTTGAAATAGATACCATTTCCCCCTTTGTGTGGATTCCTGTATAATTCATGTAAGTTTACTTTGAATACAACAGCTTCCCCTATTCTAATGTTTGTAGTTAATTTACTTAGAATTGAATTTCAGACATAAGTGATTGGGAATGAAGCCCTTAAAGGAAACTTGTGACATAATAAATTGAATAAACATTTGGCTGGTCAAAGATTCTTTATTGCTACAAAAATATTCCAGCTTCCCTCTGAAAATGAGCTGGTCCCCTTCCTATCCCTACAAAAAAGGCAATACTTCCAAATGTTCTACTTCATTCAAACCACCATGTGCTGGGAGTATAACCTATAGGGATTTAAAAGTAAATGACCTCTTGCTACTATTTTCATTTATCAGGTCTAATTCTAGTTCTAAGCTATCTTATTTTATATTTCCAATGACTCTCCTCCCCCTCAAAAAAGCATCAAATTCAGGAGCCCTCATTGTTTTTCATCATCAGATGC